TTAGTTATGGAATTTGAAAATCATTTTCAAAACTTCAAACAAGATCTTAAACCTCCTGTGGATAAGGTAGATGAGAGAAAAGCACATTTGGGATGGCTGGGCCAGAAATGTCATTGTGAAAATGCTTTATTATGAAAAAGTGATATTCTGCCTGAAAAGGTGAACTTGTCCTTTAAAAGATGTTGGAATGAAGGGTACCTTCCACTTTGTTCATGTGATGACGACCGATGAAAGTCCTTCACTTTCATGGAGCATCTCACCGAGGGGTGTCTATTGGATCTTAAAGTATATCTAAAAAGGCATTTTTGGATAGAGTGGAGAGGGATTAGAAAACCTGTCAGTTTTTATTGCTGTCTGTGCCCCCATTAAGGAGATTCATCTTCTTTATTTGTCCTGTTTCCCATTACACTGTTCAACAGGTAAAAAGTTTTGGGCATAAAATTAGCTAATCTTACATAATTTTGGGGTGCTGAAAACGAAAATGACCCTAAAAAATGTTGATTGGCTCTAGTTTCCATGATATATTCACCCATCTAATGACGTAAGCCATTCAAAATTATGATGCAACTTCAGCTACATATTGCGCAATTGATACTGGTGACCAATAGAAAATTGCATGTATACTGAGATGATGCAATATTAGCCTTTAATTGCATCACTTCACTGCATAAAAGCTGCAGTATCTGTAGCTGATTGTAGTTCGACATCGTCTTTACATTTCATTTTATGCTTATATAGGCTACTCCAGTAATGCCTCGAACTTGTGTGAATAAAGCAGATAATTTCTGCTATATCTGCGGTGAAATAACATTTATCTCACAAAAAAGGAGGATAACAGGAATGATTAAGAAAGCCTACAACTTGTATTTTGGCTGCAAGATAGGAGACCAGGACAAGAGCTGGGCACCACATATATGCTGCAATTCTTGTGGGACGGCACTGGAGCAATGGTTGAATGGAAAAAAAGGCATCTATGCCTTTCGCTGTGCCAATGATTTGGAGAGAGCCAACAGATCATGTTAGTAATTGTTACTTTTGTATGGTGCCTCCAATTGTAAAAGGGCTAAATAAGAAGAAAAAGTTATCTGTGCACTATATAGTTATCTGTGCAAATATTCCATCGGGAATACGTCCAGTTCCTCATGGAGAGGGGCTACCAATTCCTAAAGCACCAGAATCCTTCGTGGTTGAGTCAAGTGAGGAAGAATCTGAAGCGTGTAGTCACGTGCAGTTGTAAGAGATAGCCCTTTCCTCGAATACAAGAGAAAAGCCAAGAGAAGCAAAACCGACACAAACTGAAGACAAAACTAGTGAGAATCCTAAGTATAAAATGATTCAACTTAGCTTATGGCTATAATTTTTCTTGGTAATCCTATGCAATATATTATGCCATTTAGGCTTTGTTATGTAGTCAATATCACTTGCTTTATATTTGTGGAAAGACATCTATCTATACAATTATTGTGCATTATGTAGTCATTACGCCTATAGTAGAAAACTTTCCGTTTACAGAAAAACTAGAGCCAATTGACAAATTTCATTGTTATATTTGAACTCAGAATGTGAAATTCATTAAGAAATGGATCCTTTTGTTTCCAAAACTGGCAAAAAATAAAAATTTGTTGAACAGTGTTATCATTAAAAGTGACAGTAAAAGAAAATCCCAAATTTTGGGTTGTCTCCAGAAAATTTAATCTTCCAATGGGGATACCAGTTCTGGTGACCTGGAGGTCCCCCCAAAAAATTCCCTTACTTTTGCAGGGATTTACTCACTTCCTGTTTGGCTGTGGGACAGGAAGTAAAGGGAAATCTCCAGAATGGGACACAGATGGTGAAAAAAAATTTGACAGGGGTTATAACCCTCCCTTGCGCTATCCAAAATGAAAAAAAAAAAAAAGTTTTGCCTATAGTTCTACTTTAAGGTCTGAGCATGAGATCTTAGCAAGAGAAGCTTGTTTGCTGAATGGAAAACTTTTGCCTGTGTCATGTCTAGAATAGGGCTTAAGTATTCCAGGTAATGAGAAGGCTGGATGGTGTTTGAGAGAAGAAATGGATGAGGTGGTAGCGTTTGGAACTCTGTTTTGTACCCTTTTGAAAGCCCTGATTGAACCCATAGGTCTGAGATGTCTGGGAGATGGTGGAATGCAAGTCACAAAAGACATCCCCCCTCTCTTAGTAGTGAAGGGGCCCCTTCATTGTGGAGAAAGCTTGAGGCAGACTTTATAGACTTTGAAGCCTGTGGAGAGTGGTGCATGTTGATGCCCCAAAAGAGAGAAATTCTGGATCCCTGGGCTGTGGGAGTAGGAACTTTCCTCCGATGACATTCTTAATGTATGTATTAAAGTACCTCAACAGAGAAATGCCCTCATTCAAAGAACATACAAGTAAGGTGTCTTTTGAAGGCAGCTTCAGCTAACCAGGCTTTCTGCTATAAGATTCTGTGCATATGGACAGAAATAAGAGCCATTCTGGAAATGTGTGTCATAACTTGTTCTAGGACATTAACACAAATAGGTAAGGTGGAAGGCAGTGTTTGTAAGTGTTCCTGTTCCTGAAAGACAGGATCCTGTTGAGTGTTAATTGCCCTAGTCCAATTAGTTGCAGTTTGACAAACAGAAAGTGCAGCAAAAGCCAGTTGCAGGGCTTGACCTAAAAAATTAAAAGAGAATATCTAAGTTTCTATCTACAGGATTTTTAAATGAAGGAACATCTTCTATATTTACACAGTAAGACGTTTAAGAGTGAGACAGCAGAGACTTTTTCAATAGAAACCCAATCATCATAAATTGCTCATTCTATTTGTTTATTATTGGGAAATGTCTTTTTAGACTTTGCAGGCACTTTTAGTATCCAAAGGAGTTTTGCAAGACTGAGAAGAATAAAGTGTGACTACAAAGAGGCTTTTTCACACAAAAGAAGCGAGCATATCTACATTTGCAAGCATATTGCAAGAAGCCATAGCATCAGGCAAGGGGTAAGAAATCTTCTGTACCTTTTCTAATACTGCCTCCAGGTCTTCGTCAATGTTTCTCATATCTTAAGGGAGGTTCCACTTCCAATTTGGATAGAGAAGGTGAAGGTAGAAAAGAAACCTGACACTTTTGGGCTCTGGACAGCAATGGCTGAATTAGGGCAGTTGTCAGAAAAACTCTGACATAGTTAGAGAAAAATCTGCCTCGTTCAGATAGGGCATTTGTTGTGTGTCTGAGACATTCTAGACATAGAATCTGCTGCAGGTGTTAACCATTAGCCGCCCGGCCTATAGCCGTTTGGCGGCCGCAAAAATGCTTCAGCTTTCCGGGTGCACGCCATTTGGCGTGCTCCCGCACATGCGCAGTTCGCGCGGTTGCAGAGCCGCGCAATCTGTCACCGGCCGTGTACCTCGGACACGGCCGATGACAGATCTGAGTACCGGCCCCCGTTGCCGGTACCATGTGACCTGCTGTGACCAATCACAGCAGGTCACATGACAGTTGTATACAATGGATGGCTTCATTCATGCCATCCATTGTATACTAGTGCCTAGCTGTGAATGGTCACAGCAGGTCACATGCACATGTCATGTGATTAGCTGTGGCCAAATCACAGCTAAGCACCAAAAAAAAAAAAAAAAAACCTGAATGAATCGATTTCATTCAGGTAAATGCTTGCTTATAGCAAAGTAATTCTTTGCTATAAGCAAATTGTGTAAAAAAAAAAAACAAAAACAAATACTGATCACTTCCCCAAAGTAGTACAATGTTACTATGGTAACATTGTACTACTTTGGTCATAGTAAAATATGAAAAAAAAAATCTTAAAAAAAAAAAAAAAAAATGTAATAAAAAATTAAAAATAAAAAAATATATATATATATATTTTTTTTTTTTTTTCCATACTGTCACCAGTCAGTGTTCCTGTTCACCGTCATGCCAGTTATATGATGACGCTGTACTGCACTGGTGACAGTATGTAAAAAAAAAAATAGTGATATATATAATTATATATATATATAATTTTTGTTAATTTTTTCATTTTCCGAAAAATTATGACAAAAAAAATACAACTTCAAAAAACTCGCCATTCCTCTTATGAAGTACGTCCGACTGTCTACTCTGCAAAAAGGGGTCATTTGGGGGATATCTGTACTATTCTGACATTCTTGGACCTCAAGAAATTAGATTGGCCGTCAGTACTTCAGGATTGATCAATTTTTGTAGATCTATACCATAGTTTGGGAACTCTATAACTTTCCTACAAACTAAATAATACATCCTAATTTGGGTTATTTTCACCAAAGACATGTAGCAGAATACATCTTGGCCTAAATTTATGAAGAACAATTATTTATTTGTAAACTTTTATAACAGAAACAAAGAAAACGTGTTTTTTTTTCAAAATATTTGGTGCCTTTTTTTTTTGTTAATTTAGCAAAAAATAAAAACCCCAGCGGTGATTAAATACCACCAAAAGAAAGCTCTAGTTGTGTGAAGAAAATGATAAAATTTTAGTTTGGGTACAATGTTGACCGCACAATTGTCATTCAAAGTGTGAGAGCGCTGAAACGTGAAAAATGGCCTGGGCAGGAAGGTGTAAAATTGCCCGGTATTGAAATGGTAAAATAGAGTCCTGCTCTGATGCAAGGGAAGCAACATCATTCTCAGCAGTTTGAATGTTTTGCAAGCCATTGACAGAGCTAAAGCTTGCCCGAGCTTTTACCTTGGCTTCCTTGTGCCTGGCTTCCTGGGTACCCACAAAGTGGGGTGAGGAAATGGGGGGGAAAGGTCTAGATAAAAGTACTTTTTATGCATGGACAAGTGTACTTTAGCATGAAAAAAATAAATGTGAGGCTATGCCCATTTTATTATCTTTAGATTCAATATGGTCCAGAAATTTCTACATATTACAAACAGTATGGTTGTTTGAATATTTCATATTGTACAGTATACATATTTTTTCCCACCCTCTTTTTATTTACTTAAAATAGACTTTTACTGGATAAACTACAGGCTTATACAAACCTATTCCAGCAAGCACAACATCAGCAGAAGAACAGTTCCATTTCTCAGAAGTACCTCCTTCACCTATAAAGACAAAAAAGACAGTGCCAGGTTTGTTGATGTTCCACTGATGTCCTGAGTGCTCGTTAAGCTTTGCTGAAATGTGCAATACTAAACTGGAAAAAACAAACACAAAATTAACTACATTTGTTTGCAATCAAATTATATGGACAGAGCACTATCACTTTCAAAAGCAACCTTAAAATGTTTTGTTCCATGTAAAATTTTTAACTACAACTACTCCACCATAAAGTGCTGTTTTAGTTATACAGTGGGGCAAAAAAGTATTTAGTTAGCCACCAATTGTGCAAGTTCTCCCACTTAAAAAGATGAGAGAGGCCTGTAATTGGCATCATAGGTAGACCTCAACTATGAGAGACAAAATGAGAAAAAAAATCCAGACAATCACATTGGCTGATTTGGAAATAATTTTATTTGCAATTTATGGTGGAAAATAAGTATTTGGTCAATATCAAAAGTTCATCTCAATACTTTGTTATATATCTTTTGTTGGCAATGACAGAGGTCAAACGTTTCCTGTAAGTCTTCACAAGGTTGGCACACACTGTTGCTGGTATGTTGGCCCATTCCTCCATGCAGATCTCCTCTAGAGCAGTGATGTTTTGGGGCTGTCACTGGGCAACACGGACTTTCAACTCCATCCAAAAGTTTTCTATGGGGTTGAGATCTGGAGACTGGCTAGGCCACTCCAGGACCTTGAAATGCTTCTTACGAAGCCACTCCTTCGTTGCCCGGGCGGTATGTTTGGGATCATTGTCATGTTGGAAGACCCAGCCACGTTTCCTCTTCAATGCCCTTGCTGATGGAAGGAGGTTTGCACTCCTAAATCTCACGATACATGGCCCCATTCATTCTGTCCTGTACATGGATCAGTCGTCCTGGTCCCTTTGCGGAGGAAACAGCCCCAAAGCATGATGTTGCCACCCCCATGCTTCAAAGTAGGTATGGTGTTCTTTGGATGCAACTCAGCATTCTCTCTCCTCCAAACAGGACTAGTTGTGTTTCTACCAAACTGTTCTATTTTGGTTTCATCTGACCATATGACATTCTCCCAATCCTCTTCTGGATCATCCAAATGCTCTCTAGCAAACTTCAGATGGGCCCGGACATGTACTGGCTTAAGCAGGGAGACACGTCTGGCACTGCAGGATCTGAGTCCCTGGCGGCGTAGTGTGTTACTGATGGTAGCCTTTGTTACGTTGGTCCCAGCTCTCTGCAGGTCATTCACTAGGTCCTCCCGTGTGGTCCTGGGATTTTTGCTCACCGTTCTTGTGATCATTTTGACCCCACAGGGGTGACATCTTGCGTGGAGCCCCAGATCGAGGGAGATTATCAGTGGTCTTGTATGTCTTTCCATTTTCTAATTATTGCTCCCACAGTTGATTTGTTCACACCAAGCTGCTTGCCTATTGCAGATTCAGTCTTCCCAGCCTGGTGCAGGTCTACAATTTTGTTACTGGTGTCCTTCGACAGCTCTTTGGTCTTCACCATAGTGGAGTTTGGAGTGTGACTGTTTGAGGTTGTGGACAGGTGTCTTTTATACTGATAACAAGTTCAAACAGGTGCCATTGATACAGGTAATGAGTGCAGGACAGAGGAGCCTCTTAAAGAAGAAGGTACAAGTCTGTGAGAGCCAGAAACTTGCTTGTTTGTAGGTGACCAAATACTTATTTTCCACCATAATTTGCAAATAAATTCTTTCCAAATCAGCCAATGTGATTGTCTGGATTTTTTTTCTCATTTTGTCTCTCATAGTTGAAGTCTACCTATGATGCCAATTACAGGCCTCTCTCATCTTTGTGGGAGAACTTGCACAATTGGTGGCTGACTAAATACTTTTTTGCCCCACTGAAGGTGGAGCCCAATTGCTTGAGTAAACCCCTGGTTTCCTATATTTCTTGGTTACTCCAACAGTGCGATCTACCTGCAATTATTCCCAATTCTGTTTCTGTGAGTTTTTGAGTATTTATAGTCATATTATAAAGAGTATTTTAAAAAAAATATGTCAGGGTATAGTAAAACCTCCTCATAATGGCCACAGCAGGTGTGTAGACCTAGAAACTAAAGTGCAAACACATCACTAAAGTGTACCTCAGCACAAGTGTTTATCAGTTTTAGGTGGATTGACTTTAAGATCTTTACTACCATATAAGCTGTATAAATGCACTATTTACATAGTAGAACACTTCCTTTAGGACCGGTTCACACAAGAAAGCAGTGTAGGAATATTTGGTGTGCATTTCCTGCACCGTGTTCAAATGCACTGTCCATGCAATCTGCTGGGGGTGACAATGTACTGTCAATGGCAAACCAAACACAGATCACAAACACAGTGCATCTGCAGGTGCCAAATTGCATGGTACCTTAGTGCCATGTGATTTGGTGGGGTATGGTTTTAAAAGTAGTGCATGCACTACTTTTTCTGCATTCTGGTGTGATCTGTAGCCCATTCAAATGAATGGGCTGCAAAAATTGCACTGCATGGGAACATGCGGGAAGCCCAATGCAAACCGGACCTTACTGAGTGCTGGCTGGCTTTTCTGTGATTCACCTGTCTGCAATAAATCTTTGGATGTCTAGTACAAAAGATCACCCTTAATTCCATACATGAATATTATTTTTAATATAGAACACATATTATTGCTACTGGCAGGGGTGGCAGGAAATAAGGGCAGTGGGGTGAATGAGTGTGGTCTCTACAAAACATATTTTAGGACACTTCTAGATAAAAATAGACTGCTAAAATGTCCTTAATCTCAGGAATCCATTACCTATTTATCTTTTGAAAATAAAAAGAGGAGTAATTAATATATATTTTAAAAAAAATAAATCCAGAGTTCAGCAATGGCTTAAAGCGGAGCTCCACCAAAAAGGGGAAGTTCCGCTTTAAGCTTTTGTCCCCCGGTCCCCATTAAGGATTGGCACCTTTGGGGAGCAGGGAGGAGGGGGTGGTACCCAAATTTGACAGGTACCCACTTCCGCTGCGATCGCCTAGGCGATCGGAAGAGGAAGTCGTCCTCCCCCCCTCCCTCCCCGTAGTCTTCTGGGACAGGTGACAGGTGGATGGAGAAATCCCTTGGTTTTTTGTTCATCAGGCTGGCTGATGAAAAAAAAAAATAAAAAAAAAATATATCATCTATGGCCAGCTTTACTGTACTGTATATTAAACTCCAGGTTTCCCTAGCTAAGTACATTCTGTTCACATTGTTCTGTTCTGTTCTCTCTCCTGCATACATTATCAGTAGCTTAAAGCTACTACCACCAATGCATCATGAAACTAGCACAGTCATTATAAAAATAGGCATGAACTAGGCAATATTCAAATTTCTCTTTAGCTGATGGTTTTAATAAACCTTAATTTAAACAAAAATGAAAAGATAAACCTGTCCATTCTCGCCATGTATCTCTCTGGCTTCTGTCCTCATGTAGAAGTTGACCCCATGCTCCTCTAAAAGCTGAAATTGAAAATGGCACGCATCAGCATAATATAAAAGGAAAAACATGCATACTAATGTTACAGAAAAGAGCAAAACAAAATGTAACCTTGTGTACGATTATAAATAATACTTTATAAACTTATGTTCCACCTTTTCAACTTATCCTAGATGGCTAATAGATTATGTTTTCTATTATGATCAATTAGGTTACTGCATGCCCATTAGAAACAGACATTTTCTCATATAGTTACAAAGATGCTGGCAAGGATGCTGGGCTATGCAGTTAGCCCTTTGGCTAGTCATGCTATTAGGCTTTTTTTCTACATACAGTATATAAGTAGTGATGCCGTGAATAGGCAACTCAGAATCTGAGCTCTGGGGTGATTCCCAACAAACTGAGTGGAGATGCACACTGGTTCTACCTACATACAGTATATAGAGTGTCTACTACTCTTCTTAAGTTCTAAACCGTGCATTACAACAGTGCTGGTGTGTGTATAACATACACACACACACACACACACACATATATATTTTCACACACACACACACTACTGTGCAAAAGTTTTAGGCAGATGTGAAAAAATGCTCTAAAGTGGCTGTAAAGGAATTTTTGTTAAACAAAGGTCTCTCTACTTACTGTACCTTTCGCAGAGCAACCCCGAACCTCCTCTTCTCAGGTCCTAGCTCCTCCTCTCTGGCTAGTGCCCCAATAGGAAACTGCGTCCCTCCTGAGCCCTGCTACTGCATCCATTGACACAGACAGCGGGTCTCAGCCCTGCCCCCTCATCACTAGCTTTGATTGACAGCAGTGGGAGCCAATGGCTCCCACTGCATCAGCAAAGCCTGTGAGACCCAGAAGCGGGGAGAGAGAGAAGAGCTGCAGACGTGCACAGATGAATGAGGGCTAAGGTGAGTATAAGGGGGGTGAGGGGCCAATACCGAAGCCTAACCATTTTCTACCTTAATGCAAAGAATGCATTAAGGTAAAAAATGTTTAGGCTTTAGTACCACTTTAAATGAAGAATGCTTTCAGAAATAGAAGTGTTAGTTTATTTTTATCAATTAACAAAAAGCAGAGTAAATGAAGAGAAGAGAACTCCAAATCAATATTTGGTGTGACCACCCTTTTTCTTCAAAACAGCATCAATTCTTTTAGGTAGCTATACTTGCACACAATTTTGAAGGAACTCAGCAGATAGGTTGTTCCAAACATCTTGGAAAACTAACAACAGATCTTCTGTGGATGTAGGCTGTCTGTCTGGGATTACATGAAGAGACAGAAGGATTTCAGACTCCGTGATGTTGACATCAGGGCTTTGTGGGAGCCGAACCATCACTTACAGGACTCCTTGTTCTTCTTTATGCTGGAGATAGATCTCAATGACATTGGTTGTAGGTTTGGATATGTTGTCCTGCTGCAGAATATATTTGGGCCAAACACACACCTCCCTGATGGTATGACATGATGGATAAGTATCTGCCTTTATCTTTCAGCACTGGGAGATTTCTTTTCAATATATGCATTTATATTGAAAATAAATTTGGGAGAATTCAAACTCCTGACTGTTTTTTTATGGCCTGCATCTTTGCAGGAAACTTACCTCATTTCCTGTTTTTGCTAACACATGACATTAAGATGGGAAGTCCGGGGAAAACTCACAGACAGGGATAAAGACGCAAGAGAAACTTGATAGGAGGTCGAAACACTTCCATATAGCCCTCTAACCTTGATACTACTTATGATATTGCGTCACTTTACCCCATGCTCTGCCCTTCCTTTAACAGTAATAACCTGATTGATTGTTGTAGGACTACAGTATTCTGATTCAATTGCATATCCACTTATCTTCCAAAAGACTGCAGAATCTAAATCCCAATTACCTTACATAACAATCAGTTTTACTTTTCTAAGTGACATTGGCCCTTTAAAGCACTCAAGGAAACAAGATCAAGTAAAATGTTGATTTAATTAGAAGCAGAATTCTCATGCATGTCAAATATGAGGGAGACTCCCTGGTATTTCCTGTTACTGGCCAAGTTCTCTCTCTTTCAGAGCTGAAATGTTTAACAGATCAGTCCCATACACTGTTTATTATTGAAGCTCTCCAACAGGTCACTGAGGATAGAGCAGTGCTGCCTATAAAACTCTGGATGAAGAAGAGGGCTCAAACAGGGGCAGCTGCTGCTTAGAAAGAACCCGCCACAAATGGGATACTAGAATCCTATTAAAGATTTATATTTGCTCCCATATTTAGCTTCACTTTTAACAGTCCAACTCTTCAGGGAGTCAAAGGTAAGGTAATGTCTGACAGTTTCTGAAATTCTTTTACAGCATATATGGATTCTTAAAGAAAGAATTGCCATCAACACCTTACTACGTATGAGACTTACTGTTACAATGAAAAGTTAAAGTTTATTTTGGTACCAGAAAAAAATAAAAAGTGTTCTCTGAATGGTGTCTGTGCCGAGTGAGCAACTTTCTGTGTTCACTAAGCAGCAGGGCAGCCATTCAGCATGGGACCTGGAAGGTAGCAGAGATCTCTGTAGCAGAAGTCTCTAATACAGTGATTTACAGTTTCCATGGGGATCTTTCAGGTATGGTACATGCATACTTACAGAACATTAGTCCAAGCTGGACCAATTTAACTATGCAAAAATATCTATATCTAACCTTTGGCTTTAATAACCAGTGTATGTCATCACATCAAATAACCATACCAAGGCTTCTCTACCGAGACTGGCTTTCTGTAGTAAGAGCACAGACCTTAGGCTAACGATCTGGCTCAGTCACTCACTAGTAAGATTTCAACAGTTAAAGTGTTACTAAACCCAGGACCCTGCATTTACTATATCCGGTCTTCCACAGTACAGAGAACATGGAAATGCAATTATTTTAGTACATATAAATTGCTAAATACCTTATATCACCAGCAAATACAATAGAAGCCTTGTGACTTCTATCAGTGTCCAGCCGAACACTGGTTAGTTTTCATTCTACAATGCCGATTGGCCCTGTGCCGATCATATGCACCCTCCCAAAGAAAAAAAAAAAAACCTCTCTAGCAATACACACCAAACAGAGCATGTGCAGACTTGCCACTACTGCTTTGTGCTATGGCAGATGGATTGGGTACAGTAAGAGAAAGGGAGGATTATAGAAGACAGGATCAAATAGCCTTTTACACAATGCGGGGGGATTAACATCTTAGGTCCCACAATTAGTATAACAAGCATAAATCTGAACTCCAAAGAGCTACATACAAAGATGAAATACAGTTAAGGAAGCTGTTTTCTAGGGATGCACCCATACCATTTTATTTACAACACAGAGTATGAGTACCGATACTTTCTTTCTTTAAGTACCAATACCTATTGCCTTGGAAAGATAAGTGGAAAAAAGGAGTTTTGGGTAAGGGGTAGGGAAACCAGCTATGGTTGGGAGGGGGGTGGGGTTTGGGATACAGGCGCAGGGATGGGGGTCTTGGGGTGGGATGGCTGGGATGAGGGATGGGATAGGTAGATAGGCCTGGAAGCTAATCTGACTGCAGAGGGGGTGAGGAGGTTGGAAAGTTGCTAGGTGGCAGAAGGGGACCTTTAAGCTGTACAATGGGATAGCAAAGTAAGGAGGACTGTGACTAAACTAGGAGTAGGATAGATGGTTGTGGTTTAGAGGTTGTAAAATGTGCAGAGGAAAGGGGCTGGGGATAAACTAATCGGGAAAGGAGTGGTGACAGTAAGATAAGAGCTGGGCAGCCATCAGAAATTTTGGGGCCCCTTACACAGCCTTAGGCCTGGGCCAACCCAGGCCTGACCACCAACATTCTCCAGGTCCCACCCACTGGCCGTCCTACCGAATCCACCCACTGGCCATTGAACCATGTCCTGCTCCTTCTCCTTCATCCCATCTCATTCATTTCATGGCATCCTCCTCCTCTATCCCACGTCCTCTTCCTCCTCCAGTCCCATTGCCTCCTCCAATGTCTTCTTCCATCCCATGTCCTCCTCCAGTCCCATCTTCTCCATCCCATGTGCTCCACTTCCAGGCTTATCTCCCCCATCCCATTTCCTACTCCTCTTCCAATCCCATCTCCTCCATCCCATGTCCTTCTCCCCCAGTCCCATCTCCTCGATCCCATGTCCTTCTCCTCCTTCATCCCATGCCCTCTACATCTCCAGTCCTATCTCCTCCATCCCATGTCCTTCTCCTCCAGTCCCAGAAAAATACAGGTGAACAGTTCTAATAAATGCTGCACCTCCTGTCCAGGTATGATAGGAATGCCACACGGGCCCCCTGAAGCTACGCCCACAGTCCAGTCTGAATAATGTGTCTGGGTTTCAGGTAGACTGAAACCCAGACACGATTCAAAACCTGGACTGTCCGGGTGAATCCTGTACAGGTGTCAACCCTAGTGTCACCCCATATATTGATAGCAGCAAGTGTGGCCCCCAAATAATGCAGAGAATAGCAGCACAGTGCTGGGCCCCAAAACATAATACAGTAGAGCAGCAGAATGTGGCTCCTAGGTGCCCCAGAATATAAATGTAGGAAAGCAGCAGAATGTGGCCCTCGGGGACCAAAACACAGTATATAAGTGCAGAACAGTGTAATTCCTGGTTCCCCAGCATACTATCAAGGAGGGAGGCAGCAGAATGTTGCCCTCCCACACAATATAGAACAGCAGAAAGGTGTGGCCCCCGGGGGGGCCCATAAGCTGCCAAAACCATAACATAACACATGCAGCCTGCCCTTGTGTGGACTCCAGGTCCTCACTTCACACACTCCAGCACAGCCCATTTCAGTCTCACCTGGATGAATTCCATTGAGAGCGGACTTCCTGACCCAGCCTCCTCCCACCACCACCAGCCGGTACGTCTCCTGCTTGGCGCCCTCCCTCCTGAGCCTCACCAACTGAGCAGGGCCATTCTGGACGCAGGGCCTACAGCAGGGTCTACAGCTGTGTGTGAGTGCGAGTGTTGGGCAGGACCACCCACATAAAGGATGTGGGGAGCCATTG